CAACACCCACACACACACACACACACACACACACACACACACAACATCAGGGTGAGCCCAGAAACTATTGCCCTACAAGGCAGGTGTAATCGTCCAACCTCGTCCAAGAGACTGCCATTGTCCTCCACCGCCCCCTGGTGTTCTTGCAGAGATACTGCATCAGACTGAGGCTTCTCTTCCTCCGTCTCCAACTCCTCCAAACCTGCCCCGCCTCCATCTGTGTGTACGGGAAGCTGCTGCTGGTGGTAACGCTGGACCAGGGGGGGAGGCAGAAAACTGAGAGGGGCAGAAGTAGAGGGGGAGAGGGGAGGAAGGAGGGAGAGCAGGAGAGGGGGAGAAAGAGGGAGAGAAGGAGGGAGAGAGGGAGGGAGGGAGGGAGGGAGAGCAGAAGGGAGGGAGGGAGGGAGAGAGGGAGGGAGGGAGAGCAGAAGGGAGGGAGGGAGGGAGGGAGAGAGGGAGGGAGGGAGAGAGGGAGGGAGGGAGAGAGGGAGGGAGGGAGAGAAGGAGGGAGAGAGGGAGGGAGGGAGAGAGGGAGGGAGGGAGAGAAGGAGGGAGAGAGGGAGGGAGGGAGAGAAGGAGGGGGAGGGAGTGTAGGAGGGAGGGAGAGCAGGATGGGATTTGTTTACTGTCAGGGCTAACCTCAGTAACATATTCTTTTACCAAGGCATTAAAACACACACACACACACAGCAGGAGAGGGGGAGAAAGAGGGAGAGAAGGAGGGAGAGAGGGAGGGAGGGAGGGAGGGAGGGAGAGCAGGATGGGATTTGCTTACTGTCAGGTCTAACCTCAGTAACATATCCCTTTACCAAGGCATTAACACACACACGCACACACACACACACACAGCAGGAGAGGGGGAGAAAGAGGGAGAGAAGGAGAGAAGGAGGGGGAGGGAGAGTAGGAGGGAGGGAGAGCAGGATGGGATTTGTTTACTGTCAGGTCTAACCTCAGTAACATATCCTTTTACCAAGGCATTAACACACACACACACACACACACACTTCCTCTCTTTCAGTTTTTTTCCTCAGCTATTTCTAACAAACCTAAAACATTTTTATTCATTTTTATTATTCTTTTAAATGTTAACAGTGGTCTCGATGTCGACTTAGAAATCATAGAAATATCGAGTACTATTATTATGGCTGATTAAAGTTCACTCTCCAAAGCGTCATCAGCTTGTCTGCACGTCACGCCCTCTGGTGACGCAAGGGAGTAATTGCACTCATCAACGTTTTGGCCTGAACTTATTGAAAAGTGCTATTGCTTTTATTAGTCAGCAGAGGGCGAACAAACATGAAACGTCCGTGACTTCGCGTATGTTTCCGGTTTGTCTGCACATAACGCCCTCTGTTGTGTGAGAAGAGCAATTGCATCCATCCGCCGTTGATGAGTGCAATAGCTCATTTTCTCCGGCAGAGGGCCTGACGTGCAGACAAACTTTTGGCCGGAACTTGTTTGTTGGCGAAGCAAAAACCCAAACAACCAACCGCATTTTTTATTACATCGTATCATAAAATGTGTCACTCCGCTACCGCAGCCCAAAAACGGAATTAAAACTTAGAATAATGGTGAATAATTGATAAAACGGAGTCAAAATAAGTTTATGTCTCAACTCTTTGATACTTTTGTTACTGTTTAATATCCGTGGAGCTAAAGCTAAAGCTAACTTCGCTACCGAACTGCGTTAATGCTGCGTTTATTTCCGTCCTGACGATTGTTCAGTCGGTTGTGCTATTTCTGCCAGTAGATGGCGATATTCTGTAGAAAATAAAACTCAAAACGGTTCATTTGTCCAAAATGGAGGAACAACATTGGCCACGAAGAAGCCGCCAAACAACAACAACAACAACAACAACAACAGTAATAATACTTTGGTGATGTTTTGATGACAAACGTGATGTGTTGTCAGTAAAGATTCTTGAGTTTGTTCTGAAAATAAACGTTCCACATCAGGAGCTGCTCTCAGTCAGTTTGTGTTTTCTAACAGTAACAAACGTCAGAGTTTAAAACATCACTCATTTATGCTAATTATTGAACTAATGAGGTGGTTCACTCTGTGACCTGTGGTACCTGTGCTCTCTGCTGTCAGACTCCTCCTTAATCTCAGACAGGTGTCGAACACCCAGTCCACCCTGACACACACACACACACACACACACACACAGAGTATAATGTATCAGTTAATTACAGACAGGAGTGTTGTTCTTACAGTTACTGTGGTGACAGGACACACACACACACACACACACAGGTTCTCCTCCTCATAATTTGTGACTATGTGTCATTGTGACAGCACACCACTGCACCACTGCACCACTGCACCACAGCACACTAACAAATGTGCCCTGTGGGAATCGAACCCAAATCTAGCTGGGTTTCCGAGGCAGGCGTGCTAACCGCCGCACTATGGAACCAATGAAAATGTGGCCAAAGGTCAAAGGTCACACAGCAGACCACTGGACAAAGACGCGATGATCAAACTGGTCTCGGTCGTCATGTTCAGACCAGTCTGAACCGGTTCGAGTCCCTGACTCAGAACAACAAACTTCACTTCATCAAAGGTAAAGAGTGAAGTTGGACTCACACTGGGGCTGCGCTCCATCGCCTGCTCCTGTGACACACACACACACACACACACACACACACACATCATCATCTGACGCTAACCTTAACTATTACTAACGCTAATCCCAATGTCTCACACACACACACACACACACACACACACACAGGCGTCAGTCTCTGACCTGAAGCGTTACTCCTCGGTTCTCCTCAGTTCTCCTCGGTTCTCCTCACCTCCTCACCTCCTCACCTGAGTGAGTCGTCGTCAGTGGGTGTCGGTCACTCAGTGACTCATCCGATCCTCACTGGTTAACTATTCATCCACTAACAGTGAAGCACCTTAACATGTTAGCACTTTAGCATTAGCTCCTGTGTGTGAAGAACCGTCTAGAACGGTCTAGAACGGTCTAGAACCGTCTAGAACGGTCTAGAACCGTCTAGAACCGTCTAGAACGTCAGGATGAAACAAGAGAAGTTTGATTGATTAAACTCAGGCTTTAATCTGGATTGAACTGGATTACTGAGTCACTGGATTCTGATTCATTGACCTAAACTTTGGTAATCCACGCTGTGATGTCACCACATGGAGCATAAGCAGGAAGAACACAACAACAACAACAACAACAACAACAGCAACAACAACAACAGCAACAACAACAACAGCCGGCAAAGTGAAAAAAATTCCACATTTTTCATTTTTCCTAAAAATAAAAACAAATTTTTTGTCAAATGAAAAAAATATTTTTCTGTTTTTTTAATTTATGCAGCGTCGGTAAAAATGGAAAATGTAGTCAGTGAAGAGCACCCCCTTGTAATGATGGTCGGTACTGCAGTCTGCTTGACCCTGGAAGAAGAAAAAACATTGGTGTCGAATGAAAACGTTCCCAAAACATTCACAGAAAAAAACATCACTGGTCTGAACTTCACTGGTCTGAACATCACTGGTCTGAACTTCACTGGTTTGAACATCACTGGTTTGAACATCACTGGTTTGAACATCACTGGTTTGAACATCACTGGTTTGAACATCACTGGTTTGAACATCACTGGTTTGAACATCACTGGTTTGAACATCACTGGTTTGAACATCACTGGTCTGACTAGTGACAGGAAGAGAACAAAGTTATAGATAAAACGTTCCAGTTTCTTACAGCCACTGTGGAGCGAAAATAGTACGAGCTCTGATAATGTCGAGCCACGTTAAGGCTCCACTCATGCTCCCCCTACAGGCAGAAACAGAAAAGACACAAAACAGAACAGTTAAAACCCATCGTCTCCTCTACTTCAGAATCAAGATCTAGACATTCCTCTGACCCCTGACCCCTGACCCTTGACCCCAGGGTGTCTACAGTTCTGCTGACGTCCCAATGGAGTTCACAGAACTGTTTTTCACTGGTCTGTTTTAGGTGAGGGTTACCCATCTGTCCCTCGGACTGCACATCTACTGAAGCCACTGCTCCTCTTGCCCCGCCCACTCTGTTAGTGGGTTAACTAACAGTTAAAAATGCATGAAGTGTGTGAATAATAAACACACAGCAGTGTGGTGCTCCATCGTCATGACAACATGCTAATCACACCGCAACATCAGACAAATAAAGAAGGTCACCGCTCCACTGCTGCCTGAACTGACACTCTCTGACCAGTAGAGGCAGCAGTGGACCAGAGAAGAAGCCAAACTTCAGACCTGTGTGTTGGTGGAGTATCTACTTCCTGTGACGCTGGTTCTGTCCAGCAGAGCAGAACAGGACGCTGACTCATCAAAGCCACACAGGTAGACCACCAGGAGCTCCGTGGATCTGGACGGACGGACGGACGGATGGACAGATGGACGGACAGATGGACAGACAGATGAACAGACAGATGGACAGACAGATGGACAGATGGATGGACGGATGGATGGACAGACAGATGGACAGATGGATGGACGGATGGATGGACAGACAGATGGACAGATGGATGGACAGACGGATGGACAGACAGATGGACAGACAGATGGATGGACAGACAGATGGACAGACAGATGGACCGACAGATGGACGGACAGATGGATGGACAGACAGATTAATAAAATGTAAGTCTGTGACAGAATGTGGTGCCACAGTTTTAGAACCATTGGACGTGTGTCTTGACTCACTCCATCAGCAGCGTCAGCCTCATGTTGACTGGGACGAAGGGGCTGATGGGAACTCTGAAGACAAATCGACCAGGACTGAAGAAACATCAGGACAGAAACCTCTTACAGAACTGTTCTTTTCAGTGACAACAGTTCCACTCCCTAACCCCCC